CTTCTCTTTCATCATTTTTATCTCTATATACATTTCTTCAGCATACTGTATTCTCTAAATCAGTGGTTCTCAAAGTGTGTTCCAGGGACAGCGGTACCCTGGTAAATGTTTAGAAACTGGCTTGGGGGATGGGGGAGGGGGGGAGCTCTGATTAGTAGGGTTTGCCAATTTTTGTGTTATAACTACTTCCACCATAGCTGATTTTAAGCTAGAAAAATATTGTTAGAAGGTGGCGTAAGGAAGAGATGCTGACAATTGGCTCTCATGAGCTAGTGCGAGCCCCCTCCAATGACACCACTGTGAGGGGGCCCTGAGGATCCCCAAGACTCTTTCTGGGGGTCTTTAAGGTCCTCTAGTCTTGTCATATAGACCATCACCAAGTACTTTTATTTTTCTTTAGGCATTCCATACTAAGGTGTGTGTGTGCATATAAAAATATAAATGTATATAAATATGTATATATAGAGAGAAAATATAAAATCCGTATGTGAAAATCTGAACTTGCAAAGTAGATGGTTGGGGAGTAGCTTATGTCACATTATAAAATTACATATATGTATGGAGCCTTGGTGGTGCAGTGGTTAAGAGCGATGGCAGCTAACCAAATGTCAGCAGTTTGAGTCCACCAGCCGCTCCTTGGAAACCGTATGGGGCAGTTCTACTCTGTCCTATAGGGTCCCTATGAGTCAGAATTGACTGGACAGCAATGGGTTTAATTTTTTTGTTTGGTTTTTTATATATCTACTTAAATCATATTTTTTCCAATCATGCTTTGAAATAACCTATTATTCTAGGACGTTTAATAGAATATTACAGCCATGCATAACTTCTTAGGGACACTTATTTCACAAATTAAGCTATGCCTTTAGTGGACAATTAAAAGGTAGGACTCAAAATAAGAACTTTGTTTTGGATTTTAAGTTCTAGTTCTTTCCATTGAAAGAACATTCAGAATAAATGGTACTTGATACTGATTTTTTTTTGTCATATAAAAAAATATACACTGATTTTCTTATCTATGATAAAAATAGATTTCACAATGATTCCGTTTTTACTTTGTTTTTCATTGTTTCAAACATAATTGCAAAAGCATTCTTTAACGACTAGAGAAATGTTGGTCGTTGCTGCTGTCATTCTCTCTGCATTGCCTCTAGTATTTCTTCCCAAATAAATCATTTGCCAGAAGAAAGATGTAATTTGTTTGCCTTTTTGTAAGTATTGATTTACCAGTTTTTTGTTTGAGTATTTTTCCTCACTTCCCAAGGACTTGCTCAGTTTTGTAAAGTTGAAAATGAGGGCTGCCCACAGTACGCCCATTCTAGAAATTTGTTCCTTCTAAAAATTTCCTGAATTAAACTCTATTTATTCCTACTGCCCCGACCTAGGTGGCACTCTCAGCACTTCATTTGGCACGCATCCTCACGGTTCCACCACCAGCTCTCTTCCTTTACTCTGCTCCGCTGCATGCTGCAAGAAGAATCATCCTGGAACAATTTCCTCACCATGTCCTTACCACGCATAAGATCTAGACTCTTCCCTTACTGTCCCTGAGCATTATCCGATCAATCTTATCTACCCCGGTTTCCCAAAAGAAGCCCTTGACTCTGGTCATCTGATTGCTATGTGCTCCTGCTTTCTCTTCAGCTGGAAAGCCCTCCTCCTCTCTGTGCTAAGCCACAGCCTTTATGCCTCAAATCACACCATCTCCCGGCAGTCCACAGTGATTTCTCCCTTCCCTGAATTCTTTTAACAACATTGTTCATGTGTTCACCATGATTAACCACTGTGTGCGAGGCGTTCTGGGCATTTGGTAGTGAGTGAAGCTGTTGTGATCTTTGCTTCTTAGTGGAGCCTTATATGCTCAGGGGTAGCCCTGGTGGTGCAATGGTTAAGTGCTTGGCTGCTAACTGAAAAGTTGGTGGTTTGAACCTACTACCTAGTGGCTCCATAGTAGAAAGACCTGGAAGTCTGCTCCTGTAAAGATTACAGCCTAGAAAATCCTATAGGACAGTTCTATTCTGTCACTTAGAGTCACTATGAATCGAAATCAACTTGACAGCACCTAACAACAACAACATGTGCTTCAGGGAGTGGTATCTAATTACTTTTCACGTGGATGAATTGATCCTTCAGTTAGCTTGATAACTTCTTAATAGCTGGGACTGTCCTGTTATATAGTCTCACCAGTGCTCAACAGAATGGGACAGAGTAAGCTATTGTGTTGACTGGACATCCTCGAGGTCTACCCTGAAAATATGAGACCAAGTCACTGCATGTAGATATTCTGCAGGAATTCTATTACTAGAAACTGCCTCTGTGAAACCAGAGAGCCCAACGCTCAACTCAAAGGAACCAGCATGAAAATTTGTTGTTTTACAGACCGGGCCTTGTCTTGGTGATTTTTCAGAGAAATTTTCCTTTAAATATGTAATTCTACATTCCTTCCAGTAATAATTTCCTCAGGGGTTGGAGATCTAACACTGATGGCCTCAATTCTTTAATAGAAAAAAAGCCAAAGGAAAGGGAAAAAAAAGTCTGTGGTTTCTGTAAGAATTGTAAATTCTTAAAGATTATAGTAGCAGCAGAAAAATAAATCACAAAGATAAGAGAGAACACTCCTCCCTCCACAAGAAATGCTTAGTTATCAAATAATAAGGAAAAGATAAACACAGCCTGTGAACACTCCGCCTCAAAGTAGAATTAGAATTATCCAGTGGACTCTGGGTTGGGAAAATGAGGAACCAGATCTTACTCATGTAGGGGATACATTCCTTTGCCAAAATTCAGAATAGAAAGTAGCGGTATTGCTTAATATATGCCAAGTGTGAATTCACTGTCAACTAATACTTTTCCCATCCCCAGCAGCTTTATGTTTCTAGAACCGTAAATCCCTAGAAAGACTTACAGGGCCATTCAAGAACAGTGTGCTTTGCTTTCAAACTGATGGTTCCCATGAGGTTCCACTTTGAAGAAAGTCATCCAAGACTTTCAACCCAGGAGCCATTTAGTCTAACGAAGAAGAACCTGTCTGCCTAAACGAGAGAATCTTAACCTGGGGCTAGTGGATCCCATTAAATGGCAGGGAATAGTAAAATCTCCATAAAAACAATTAGTATGTTATTATTATTTGGAAGTAGTAGTAATAATAATACATCTATTATTAAAGCTTCTACCAAGTCCCTAGTGATTTTAATCATCAAAACCACCCTTGAGATAGTACAGTTACATCTATGTTCTCATTTAATCATCACACCTCCAAGAGGAAAGAGTAGATATGATCACATCCATTTTAGAGATATGAAAACTGAGGTTCAGAAAAGCTGGAGGCCCCTCAGTAGGTCAGGGTCAATAAAAAAAAAAAAAAAAGAAAAAGATAACCATCATCTCCACTCTGCAGATGGAGAAACAATCTCTGAGAGGTTTGGGAAGTTGCTTACTGAGTCAGGTCTGGGATTCAAATCCAGTTTGGTCAGATTCCAAAACCGTGTGTATTTTCCATTGTGTTGTGCTGCCTTCCTCACTTTCCTCTCTCCAAATTATAGAGCTGAAGGATTGTTAGAAAGAACTCCCCACCCACCCCCGCCTCAAAAAAATTATACTTGCTCAGCTGAGTCACAGGGTACATGCACTCAAGGGAGAAGAAGATACAGCATTTCCAAGATCTTTCCAAACTTTGGCACAGCTCAACTCAAGGGCCCCAGGAGAGGAGGTGTGTCTTTGGGATATTAGTGCTGCTTTCTACTTGGAGGCCACTGCCCACCCAGCCACTGGGGAGTACAAAAGACTTCCCCCTCTGTTCTGTTGAAGCTCATGTACACAGCCACTGCCAGAGGAGAATGTGTATTTTGATCAAATAATTGACTATGGAATGGAAATCATTGCATCATACAACGTGGTTTTCAAATTTTAGGAGTAATTTCAATTAATGGTTAATGCTTGCATATCTGACTTCCCACTTATGTGAAGGTAAACTTTATTATTCATTTGCGGGCTTTTGTGGGGCACAGAGGCATTTTCTCCCTGCTTTTTATTCTTTTTGCTTTCTTATTTGCTATTAAACTGTTACAGATCACAAACCAAGAGCACGTTGTTCACTCCCATTACAAAAGCAGACAGTAGTGGGAGTTCTTGTACTTTTAAGAAATGCCAGGCTTTGGAGGGCTTGGAAGATTGCCCAGAGTGTCCAAATTGCGAGTGCTTGCACAGAAATGCAGTCTCGTCCTAATTACCCTCCTTTTTTCTGGAAGCTCTCATTTTGGTTACTGTGGTAGTGCCATATTTAATCTATTTCAACTCCAGTCAGATTGATAGCCTCTGATGTAGTTTTTATTCCTCTCATGTGTTGCCCACTCATTTGCAGACTCTTCTTATTAACCCATTTTTAAGCTCTGCATATCAGTCTTCCTTTAACTATAATAATGAAACTGTTATTTACAAAATCATATGTATTCAAATCTATTAAATATATAATTTGTTTATCAAGGTTTTAAAAAAGCTTGTTGTGCTCAACTTTGCCTCCATTCTGCCCCAAATCCTTCTAAATGATTGATTCTTAAACATGCTCATGTAACAGTTTATTTAAATATTTACAAAGTGTTTGTTCCTTGCAGACATTTTGTACATTATTGTGGTATTCCAAAGAGAAAACCTAAATGCAGCAAGAAAGCAAACTCTGTAACTTTGGTTCCAAAAGCAAACTAACTTCCAAACAATATGAATTCACTCCCCAACAGCTTTATCCCAGTCAGCTTTCCTGAAAATCTAGGCAAATCTTTGATTTTTACTTGAAATATAATTATGCATTGTCTGATAGACTACTACAATCTCCTTTACTTAACAGGGAGAAAGTTAACCAGAAAGTTAAGCTGTTGACCTTCTTCAAGGAGAAAAGATTAATTTACACTATTCTCTTTGTCATAGAGGCTTAAGAAAGAAGTGAGAAAAAAATAACTAAAGCTAAGCTTTTTTTCTTCCTCTCTTCTCTTGCCTTGTCTTTTCAGGAATTTCCACAATTTACAGAACCTTAGTTTGGCTTATTGCAGAAAGTTCACAGACAAAGGTTTACAGTACCTGAATTTAGGGAAAGGATGCCACAAGCTCACCTATCTGGACCTTTCTGGCTGTACCCAGGTTTGTCCTTCAGTCTTCTCTTTCCTGCAGCGGGTGATGAAGGAGCTCTCTGGAGAACAGGCTGCATCCAGCCCTCACACTATGCTAACGCTGTGCACAGCCTGCAGCACACTTCTCGAGAGGTTTTAAATTACACGGCATCAGCTGCTTAAATTTTCCCCAGGAATACTATAGGCTCTTGGCTTCCTTCCTCACCTGAGTGTCACATCGACAAACAGGCAGCTCTCATTGGATGAGGAGTCTACTTCTGGGTAGACACTCTGAGCACAATTCTAATACTAGAGTCTAAATCTTGAAAACTGTAGAGTTAAGATATAAACAAAGGAAAACCCTTCTGGAGTTAGGATCGGCAAAGAACTTCCTGAAAAGGCAATTAGCTCTCACATGGGCTTTCAAAGGGTAATAGTATTGGGGAAAATGCTTCAAGTGATAAATGTGAGAAAGGAAATGTAATGAAAATTGCAGTAAAAAATATATTTCATCCTTGGTTAAATAGCATGAAAATTTGAGATCTGTGTGGGAACTGTTTTAAGTCTGAGGGGACAGGATTAAGGAAAATTAGGCAGAAAATAGAGTGGAGCTGTGGAGGAGAGGGCATGGTGTTTTGGAAGTGGTTACTGCCTTATTGATAGTTTCTTCTGCTCTAATGTTGGTAGATTTAAGCTATGACTCTTTTAACTTCATTTCTTCCATCTCTCTGTGTATTTCACTACTCTTGGTGTCACAGTATGTTCATCATTCTGAGAATAATATAATGCATAGTACAGGGGAGAACTGGCTGAAATATTAATAGGTACCATTTGTTGAGTCATTACTCTGTGACAGTCACTGTGTTGAGTGCTTTACACAGATCAGATTTACTCCTCATCTCAGGGCTGTGTAGCATGTATTTATTATGTCTGTTTTACAAATGAGGAAACTAAGGCTCAGAACAGTTGGTTGAATAAATTGTTTGACATTGCTCAGCTGGTAAAAGCGCATAGTACTAAGTTATAATATACCTGCTAGCATCTATGATGATATTCAAGACTCTTGAAAACAGAATTTTTGACATTAATTCTTTCATTTTCAGCTCTTGGGATGTGATTTTTAGTAATAGACTTGACATTAAAATATTCTGCTGTCACAAAATAATGCAGTTGCTCTGTGGAGTCTGTTCAAATGGGTTTTTTTATTTTATAGAAAAAATTAAAAATACATCTTATATCTAAGACATTTCCAAATCCTTCATATTTGTTCTTTGATAACGTTGATACCTAAGGTTGTATCACCCTAAAAACAAAACAAACCAAACCCGTTGCGGTCCAGTCAATTCCAACTCATAGCAACCCTAGTATTCACTTTTTCCTTCCCCTTGGAGTCAGTTCCCTTGAGAATAGTTGCAGAGGAAGGAGGGCCCCTTTCATGTCTGCTCCACAGTCAATCTCTTGGCCTCTGCTGTCCGAGTCAGGTCTTCTCCTCACCACTCTCTCCGTGGTTGATACCATCAATTTGCTGCTGATTAAAAACTGGATCTGATGGACTGCAGCCTCGCACCCCAGAGCTATACTTTATGCGGGTCTTTGTGTGGTTGGGGGAAGGCATAGGGAAATTGAACAGGAGGAAGTCTTATTTCCCTGAAGGATCTAATAACCTCACCTTTAATGTCTCTCCATTATGACCATATATAAAGCAGTGTAGGTCTATGAGACTTCACCGTAGGATATAGGAAATTAAAGTGAGTATGTATGTAATAAAGGAGCCCTGATAGTGCAGTGGTTAAGTGATTGGCTGCTAACCTAAAGGCTGGCGGTTTGAACCCACCAGCCGCTCCACAAGAGGAAGATGAGGTAGTCTGTTTCTGTAAAGATTACAGCCTTGGAAACCCTATGGGACAGTTCTACTCTGTCCTGTAGGGTTGCTAAGAGTCAGAATCAACTCAACAGCAATGGGTTCGGTTCGTTTTTTGGTATATATGTAACAAGGAGCCCTGGTGACACAATAGTTAAGTGCTCGGCTATTAACCAAAAGGTTGGTGGTTTGAACCCACCCAGAAGGCTCTTTGGGAGAAAGACCTGGCAATCTATTCGCATAAAGATTACAGCCTAGGAAACCCTATGAGGCAGTTCTGCTTTGTCACACGGGGTCACTATGAGTTGAAATTGACTTGACGGCACCTAACAACAACAGCAACATATCTGACAATTTAAAACTGTATGCTTCATATGATTTTTCCCATGCTTAAGGAAAAGCACCCAAGAAATTGATATTTTTACAGGAGAACATTCCTTCATGGGTGCATCCCAGTTCTTAACCGTTTTCCTCTATTATCTGGCCCACATTCCTCTATGGGAATGGTCTTTCTTTAAATCTTCACAACGAAAACCTCTATCTACCTTTGGAGATAGCTCAATCTTTACCCATAGATACTGGTCTTGATCCAATGCCCATATTCCATGTTAATCTTGCTAGAATCTGTTTCAGTTAAGATGCTTTCAGCAGCAATGAAAAGAAACTCAATTACAAAGGGCTTAAACAATGAGGATATTTTTATTATCTTCAATAACAAGAAGTTCAGAGGTAAGTGGCTCCAGGATTAATTGCTTCATTGGTTTGACATCTTCATCAAGGACTCAGATTATTTTCATCTTTGTTACTCGGGGTGAGCTAGCTGCTCTAACAATCAAAAAGCTCAGTGACTTAACACAATCAAACCTCATTTCTTACTCAGTTCAGTTCATAGTTCAACACAGGTATTTGGCAGGTGGCCCTCCATGGCGTAATTCGGGGATCCAGGCTCCTTTCATTTTGTAGCTCTTTATTACATAGGGCTTCAGAGTTCTTGCTGAGTCCTTTGCTTCTTGCCAACAGGTAGGAGTGGAAGATTATAAGAGAGGTTTTTGTTTTGTTTTGTTTTTACAGACTAGGCCTGGAGATTGCATACATCACTTCCTTTCACATTCCATTGGCTGGAATTCAGTTTTTGTGGTTGATTAGTATGTCCAGGAGGAAAAGGAGACAGATTTGTGAACAACCAGCCAGTGTTTGCTATTTCATCTTTCCATTTTGTTCTCTGCATATGGGCTTTGCTCCTAATGATCGTAAGATGGGTACCACATTCCAGGCTTCACAGCTAGATACAACAGTGCCACCAGAGAAAAAGAAATGGCATTTTCTTTGTGTATTTTTTTTTTCTTTTGTGTTGGTTTTTAAGAGTGAAAGACCCTTCTGAGACACCTGTCAGAGAACTTCCTCCTTGATGATTCACTGGCCACTTTTTAGCCACATGCCCATTCTTAAAGCAGTTACTGGCAATGGAAAGGAACGATCACAGTTAACATGAACTATTCACAATGTGTCTTTGAGCTGGGAATGCAGTCATCTTTCTTGAGGGGTGAATTACTACACAATATAGAGGTTCTGTTGACAAAGAAGAAAGGGAAAATTGTAGTTGAGTATGTAACTACTTCCTATTTCCCCAAATCTAAGTTCTACTTCTCCACTCTGTTTCCCTTTAAAAGCACCTCACAGTGTGACTTATTTCCTTGTTCTTCTCAGTTTCCAGGGGGTAATTGCTATAGCAACAATACATAATATACATACAAACACACATACACACTTTCTAAGGATAAACAGTAATTCTCAGACATAATAAAGTCCAAATCCAAGGTTTCAAATAGGTGACCCCCTGCCCAGATCTGCATGCAAAGACCACAGAAATGTTTTAGCTGGCACAGTCTATCTTTAAATTTTGAACCAACATGAAAAATTTGGGAGACTTCACATAAAACCCTAGATTTCAAACTTCTCTTGAAAAGTTGAAAGGAACTAGTGAAATTGGGCCTCCATTCTCATACGGCAGCAATGGGCTGAAGCCAAGTCACCCTTGCCCCCTTGAGATGGAGCGTAAGCTCTTCAGTTTGCCCCCGCTCTGCTCCACTCAGTAACACCCACACATGCCCTTACATCTGAACTGCTACCACTTAATTGCGTTACCTGCTTGCTTGGCCTCAATAGTATTTGAGTTTGGACTAAAAGTGTTAAAAGGAACAGAATTCTGTTCCTAATTGCCCCTTAATTCATAAGGCAGTCCCAAACCACAATGAAGTTAGTTTTTCACATCATTATACAAAACAATGTTAGTTTCTTTAGCTCATTCTTCTTCCATTTCCACTTGTTTATTTAATAATTCAGGAGACTTAACTATAGGTATCAGATGTTGTCCAGGCAGTGAAAATTGTGCCATTTGAGACTGAGCCCCTTTAGATCCTTCAGGAATAAGAAATGGGCTCATTACTGAACCATAAAAAACCCATTGCCGTTGAGCCGATTCCAACTCATAGCAACCCTATAGGACAGGGTGGAACTGCCCTATACGGTTTCCAAGGCTGTAATCTTGATGAACACATCTTTCTCCCGCAGAACATTTGGTGAGTTTGAACCATTAATCTCTCAGATAGCAGCTGAGCACTTTAACCACTGCACCACCAGGTCTCCTTTACTGAATCATAGATATCTCAATAGTGACTGCTACTGTAGTTTCAGAAAAAACCCATGAGATTGGATGTTACTGCTTCTGAGCAACTTCTTAAGTCCTTTGAGGAGGCTCCATCTACCTCCCCAGCTCTGTAATGGTAGTTTCAAAGAAGGAAATTTGATAGTTCACAGGTTTTAAGGTTCTTCCAAACTAAAAGGTTCCGTCTTGGAAACGAAAATCTATTTTTTGCACATAATTTTGGTATTTCACATTAGGAAGTCATGTGTTAACACATCTGACCAAGTAAAAAGGTTCTAATAAAACAAAAAAGACTTGAGAATAGAAGATTACACCTAAATGCTTTTCACTGGTGTTTTCTGAGTGCCTGCTGTATACTGGGAAGACTGAGAAATCAAAGATATATAAAACAATCAACTCTGCCTTCCAGGAGCTCCGGAGTAACAGAAATGAAATAGGTCAAAGACTAAACTTTAATATAGTCACTGTTGACCAAAAAAAGGAAAATTTTATTTGTGCAATATTG